CTCCTGCAACCTCAGCCCCTGGCACCGGCCCTGCACCCGCGCCTGCAGCCGGCCCTGCAAGCCGCCCTACAGCCACCCTGCAGCCACCCCTGAGCCACCCCTGCAGCCCACTGACCGCCCCTGCATCCCCTGCCCTGCAGCCGCCCTGCAAGCCGCCCCTGCAGCGCCTTGCAGCCCCGCTGCAGCCGCACGCCTGCACCCGCCCTGCAACGCCCTGCAACCCCCCCTGAACCGCCTGCAACCGGCCCTGCAGCCGCCCTGCAGCCGCCCCTGCAGCGGCCCCTGCAGTCGCCCCTGCAGCCGCCCCCTGCAGCCGCCCCTGCAGCCGCCCCTGCACCCGTCCCTGCAGCCGCCCCTGCAACCGCCCCTGCACCTGCAACCGCATGAAAAATATTCTGAGCGCTGGTTAGGGTTCGAATCCCGATGGTGGTGTATTTTCGACTAAATAGATAGGTCGAATTCAGTCCCTACCTGGAGGATAATTCTTTCGGCCAGCAGCTGTGGTCGATATTTTTCCGTCGTTTCTCCGATCAACACCAGGTGAATACCGGATCTCTGCTCTAACATACGGGTCACTGATCGTACGCAATCTTTCCTTCCTCTTCCTTGTCCTATCGTCACACACATGACGGAGGAGCACTCGGGAGATTAGAGAATGTCCTGCCTTGAACGGTTCCCCGATGGAGTGAGAACCTGGAGTAGGAAGTTCCCAGCAAACTGACGTGTGGTTCCGCGCCGGATCTCACCATTCATTGGGAAAGAATACCGCACCTCCCGATAAAACATTGACTACACTAACGGGACAAATGACAACAGCAGTTGGAACGTGAATGGTGAAAGAGTGATCGACAATATCGACAGCTCCTCACGCCTGTTTTCCGGATATCATGGGGATTTATGGCTCCAGAATGAGTCTTCTAGGACATTGGAGTACATTCTCTGCAGTAGTCGACTGCGCACCATTGAAAGAACCGCCGGAACCTAGTACCGTCGCCGCTCAAAAGAGGGCGCCGTCACGCGCGACCAGGCACCGAAAAAGGAGGCACCACCCCTACCCGGGAGCTGGCCAGCGCACCCTCAGCCCCAGCGGGCTATAAAGCAGCGCCCCGGCGGGCAGAGGGCAGTTGAGGGCCTAGCAACAGTATCGAGTGTGTCAGTGAATCGTGAACAGTGTTGACGGAACAGCAAAGTGTACGGACTTTCTCTCTCTCGGACAGATACTTCGGTGCTACAGCAGTACTTTGGACATCTCCCTGGGCAACGGCGACTTGGCATACACTGGTACATCTTCAGGAAAATTGTTGGATCTGGCTCATATATGCTTACTCTGTACTGGTGTGAGATCAGAATAAATATATTTTTTAAGAAATTACGTTTTTGGACATAACATTCTCAACTGTCCTGTCTTCAGTGCGCATGGACGCTGGGGGCTGGAATCAGGATCAAGACCAGAACGCACTCGCTCTGGCACTCCCCGACTCCGCCACTCGCAATATTTTGAAAGCCTGGATATCGTGCCCGCTAGCTAAAGGTTACCAGTAGATGCGATAGTGGCTCGTATTGCACAACTTCCGGATGCCCGGATTTCCAAAGGCCTCAGAGCGGAGTTCTGTAAACCCTGTCGGCCGAAATCTGTATTAACACCAGAAAGCGGCCACTCTTGGCTTCCCCGACCCCGTCACACGGAAGAATTTGGAAACTTTGACACGATTCTCCCGCAAGCTCCCTGCTAGGAACTAGAGGGTTGGTCAAAAGACGGATGTTCAAAATCGGGGTTGGAAAAATCTGCATTTATTCTGAGCAATAGGGCATCACCTAGTTCTCTTCCATGACTACATAAATTTTGGCCCAAACGACGCGCGTATCGTCGACGAAAAACTCAGGTAGCTGAGTGATCATTTCCAACCCGCCACTGATTTCTTCTGCTGTTTTCTTTCCTCAATTCGGAAAATTGTATGGGAGGTCTTCGTGGCTTTTCGTAAAAAATGAAAATCTAATTCATGAGGAATGAAAAATCTTTACCGTTCAGTTAAGGTTTATTTGACATCGTTCTGTTCACCAGGAAGTTTGGCCGTGATTGCCAGAATGCGTGGGACACAATGGACCCTGCCTGCACTCTAGTGAGTGAACCTTGTGAATGTAGATGACAAAATGTTATACAGAACTCTGAACGTTCCCTAAAACAAAGACCACAACTTTATAATTATCCCCTTATTCCCTCGCTAAAGCCTACTGTGAAGAGGAGATGCTCCAATGAAAACAATGAATCGTCATTTCAACGAGAGTCAAGAAGCAACCAAAAAATGCTCGTTTTGTGGGAGAGCGGTTTTATCTTGAACGTAACGATTTCGCGGGTACAAATTAAATGGTTTACTTTAAATAAAAACTGTCTTGTGAACTGCCTGTACAACATTTTTAGTAGTAAAACCATTTTATTTTAAATTTCTTTCCTTAACTAAAATGAGTGTTTTAGGTATGTTAATTTCCTAGTGCACTTTCGATAAATGTTGCACGAATTAATTTTTACATCTATTCCAAGTACGTGTTACTCGGTTCTTTTGTGTCTGGCAACAAATCATGTAAAACATTTCTTCGTTTTCTGTCGACAATTTATTATTCTGGCCCTCTAAGAGATGTCCACAACATTCGAATATATATACAAGTTATTTGTAATACAGTCAAAAAGTTAACTAACAGGAACGAACCTTTCAAAATGATTGTAAAAGTAAGTATGAAGGGAGAAAAGTGTCGATATATTTAGTAATTTATTGACCACATAATTACTACACACTGAAAGTCAGTATACCTCCTAAAGAAAATAAACAAAATTGTCGTAATCATACAAGAGTGAATGTTATACCTTTTCCTATAGAGAATCGAACTTGGTGATCGGAATAGAGACTCTATTGAGAGTTTTGTACAATTTATTCTTTTAAAAATACATTGACTTCTACTTAGCCAAAATGCTATACTTTCGTTTCGTGTTCCTACGCTACACGTTAATATCAAATGACTTTAACTCGTTGTTTTATTACATTCGAATTATTATCAGCTTTATGAATGATGTGTTTTGTGTTCACGGGAAAGGCATAATTCAAGTACTGCTTGCCCTCTCCCTTGAAAGTTGTTGCTTCATTAGTCCCAGATTATTATAAAAGGTTAGGCTAAAAAATTGCCAATCGATTCGTCTTGCTGAGAGTTATCGAATGAGTTATTGATCACCTAAGCGCAATTTAAATTTAAAATTAAAAAAATGCTTAATTCTCTTATAATGTTCTGGAACAGTACAGAAATGAAACTCTTGAATCCCCGCCACAGAACCGACACGCGTCGAATAGCACCAAACCTTCGCCGAAGGGTGGACTGTAAAAATGTCTAACTGTAATTAACGGACGGGAACACGCAGTATGTTATGTAGAGCTAGGTGAATGTGGCGTCGGCATACTTAAATCTGTTCTTTCGAGCTACGGACACTCCCTAACCCCGACCACAGTGTTTGAGAACGTAATCTGAAAGCTTCCTAAAGAGTTGTTCTGAAGGGTACATTCTTTCAATGTTTAATCAGCCGGCTTATTAAAGAGTATTTGTATATATGTAAGCTTCTATTCTACAACATATCGTTCCATGCTTACAAATTTATATTAATAGAATATAATTTTGTATTCGAAATTATCGTACAAAAAGAGAGTACATTATTATCAATATTGTGAATTCCATTCACAACAAAATTATCCTATGAAGCGATAATTATCTTACGGGGTGGCAACGCAGCCAATGAATCTTTTTCTTCCGAGTGATCCAAGCCCTATGCCGCACATTGTAAACAGCAGTGTCCGAGCGATACAATCGTTCCAGCAATGTAGTGGTAGCGACGTGTGTCATTCATCGCATCATTGGCATCAAGGTTAGCAGTCGTCATAGCTGGTTGTGACATCAATCGAGACGATGGCTATGGCTTTGGGGCACGTGGTTCTCGCTGCCACCACTATCGGCGCTAAAAACCACCACGATAGTGGCGCTAAAAACGCAAAAAAGAATTTCTTAGCCTTCTGAATAGATCCGCAAACAAACCTTCAGTTTACCACCAGGAGAGTGAGACGCGTCGATTTGTCTCGGTTGTTGCTGGGAAAGGAATTTGAGCGTGAGTGGTTGACGCACGTGCGAAGGTTACAACATGAGGATTAGATAAGAAGTCTCGGGTTGTTGGCATAAAACGCTATAGAAATCTTGGCCAAGGAAATGTCAGTTTAGCACGGTGGATGTAGTCTGGCCGTCGACTTGGAAATGCACAGTAAGTAAATGAGGGGAATTGACTGTACCAAAACAATCACGTAACTTAGTCCCTTAATTTGTTTACTCGTTAAATCACCCTAAACGTCTTAACCCGTACACCTTTCAGAATCACCGGTAGCAATGGAGTGTATTCCACACAGGTTAGTCTTCTCCGCATACGTTAATTGTTCGCCAAAAAAATCAATGCGCACCCCCCGCACTTCTAAGATCACCGCGCCGTCGGCCGCGCGTCACCAGCAGACGGCGATCAGGTCGCGTTAGCGGTCGCAGAGTGGCGTCTCTCCCCGCCCTCCCCCTCCGTCCCTCCCCTCCACCCGAGCAGCACCCCTTTCCCAAGGCCATTTAACAAATTGAATCTGTGCCTCGCACCGCGCCCGCTCCGCCCCGTGCCCCTCTCCGTTGCTTAACACTCCACTTTAACCCTCCTCCCCTCTCCCCGCCCCACCCTCCATCGTCGTCGCCCTCCGCCTTCGCCGTCACCAGGGTCTCCGCCAGTTGTTTGCGACCATTTTCTTTTGTTTGGAGTTGTTTTTCATTTAGCGTAAGCCGCGCCAAAGCCCCCGTCGCCGCCCGCCCGCGCTCCCGCCCTCCGCTGCACAAAGCGCCGGCCTAAGCAGCGCGCTGTTGAACACGCGCGGGGGCGGGCGCGCGGAGGACAGTGGGGGAGGGGATGTGGAGGCGGGAAGGTGGCGCGGAGAAGTGGATGAATGGTGGACGCGCGGGGACGAGAGGGTGGCGGTGATGGTGGTGAGTGGGTACAGGAACAAGGAGTAACGGCCGCGTCCGTAGAGAGGAAAGGCGGTGCCGATGAGGTAGAGACGAATTCAGAACGTGGGAAATGCGAGACACGGAAGAGACAGGTGATAGCGGCGGCGGCGGAGGAGGACGCGGAAGTGACAGGCGCACCGAGTACAGAAAACAAGTGGGGACGGCCGGAGTAAAAGAGGCAGCAAGAAGGGGGGTCGACAAATAGATGAATGGAGGATGCTTGGGGACGGGTGTTGGGGAGGGGTTGGCTCCATGGTAGCGGCGGCGGTGGTGGTGGTGGTGGTTTGCACAGAAAACAGGAGGAAGTGGCTGAGTCCGTAAAGGAAAAGACGGTGCCGCTGAGAAGGTAGAGAATGGAGACGAATGGAAAAAGTGTGGTGGAGACATGGAAGAAGCTTGTGCGGGGGCTCCGGCGGCGGCGGAAGCCACGGGCACACCGAGCACAGAAGACAAGTCCAGGGCGTAGTAAAAGCTGCAGCGGGAAGGGGGCGCCGACAAATAGATGAATGGAGGACGAGTGGGGTCGGTGGCGGTGGCGATGGCAGTTGCACCCAAAACAGAGTAGTGGTGACGGCTATAGTGAGAGGCGGGGGGCTGAGATAGAGGAGGAGGAGAAGGAATTGAATGGAAGCGGTGTTGCTGGCTGGGGAGTCGGGTGACAGCAAGATTGAGCGTGGTAGCAGGTGTAGTGCCAGCCGATACCAGCGTATACATGGAGGCTAATTCAAACTGAAACGAAAGCGAACGCTGACACGCTGACATGTTAATATTACCAAAAACTGAAAATCCCGCTGACACTGTAATGATTCAATAGAATCATGCAGAAAAATTCATAAACGTAAATGTGAACCTAAGTGACTGAACTTCACATGCATTTCCTCATGAGTAGTATTGGACAAAATATGCACCATAAAAATGACGAAATGGGCGTATTCGTTGTGAGAATTCCGTGCCCTTTAAAAGCGGCCATGACAAAACACTCGTCCACCTGAATGGACGGGTGGATTCGTTCAGATTGCGACGGATAGATTCGTTCAGATGGCGAGCTGCCGCTCTCTCCGTCGTAGCGCAAATATTGATTTGCGACGATCAACGTCACTAAGAACAGGATGACTTCGAATGACCATAATAGGAGATATCCGGTTTAATTAGCTTACCTAAAACATGAAGCTTGATAATCACTTGTGAAAGCAGTTTTGATTGTTTTGTATGGTAGCTGTTAGAAAACCAAAGCCACACAGCTAGAAGATAAATCAAATATTAAACATCATCTTCCAGGAAGTTGTGGAAGAATGTGAATGATGACTGCTCGAACCGGATGAAAAGAAGTTCTGTGACGCGATTCTTGGAAGAAACGTTATTCTCTGGCTTCCTGTATCCTTTTATTGGTTGTTAGATCGATGGAGTAAGAAGTTTGCTTCCATAGTCACCTTTTTCTTAGAAATGTTAGTAACCTGTACTATATTGTCAAATTGGCAACTTGTGAAAACGTGTCGTGTGTTCATTGCAAATAAATTAGATTTTCAGAATCATTCATTCATTCAGCATCATCATTTATTAAGATTCATAGTATGTCAATGAAGAATTATGTTGATAATACTCAGAATTCCAAATGCTTTCATTTGGTTCAACTGGGTTTTGTTTTGGAAATTTTACCAATTTGTAAAGAGTTAAAAAATATTCCTGACTTTGCTTCTTTTCCCGATTCTGTATGAGAGGAAACACATTTATTTTACGGAACGCGTGTTTTCTCCTAATCTTGATGTGCTACCCGAGTCTCTCCAGTACTATTGTCCTGATAAATACAGTACTTATTATAAAAGTGACATCAAAATAAAAGCCTCGTAAGATCTATTGTAAAAACCTTTTTTAAAAATAAACCTTGTGAAACATCTAATAACGTCTGTACGTAGTACTTACCGCTGAAACGCCAGACGATGATGTACTGAAAACTAAGGATTTGATCTTCAGAAATATTTTTTCACAATTAAAACGGCAATAATGTTATTTTATGAAATGCATCGATTGTGTTTTCTAGGTGTTGTAAACTTTATTAATATTTTATTTATATACGGCCTTTCTTTATATTTTTTGAGTTATCGTTTGTTCTTTTCCTTCTGTTTTGTCTTCCTCTCTGCTCTTACACCCTCATAAAGTATCATTGTGTTGGCGCTTGCATTGATCCTCTGTGTAACGGCGTGCCTTCGTTTGCTGTTGCAGGCGTCCCAGCGCGCAACCAAGGCAACTACTACGGCAAGCCCATCGGCACCCTCACGGAGTTCGCGCACGGCATCCGGGGCACGGCCTACGCAGTCGACGAGAGCACCATCTTCATCAAGGGCTTCTCCTACGACGGCACGGGGCCAGGTAACGTCCGAGGACTCTCTGCTGTTAATACGAGTTGAAGTACCCTGTGTTGTGCGGGTATAAACGCAATTATCTGGAAGCAAAGGAATTAAGTCAGATATCCTCGTTCTATCTCGCCCTGCCCTACCTACCCTTCCCTACCCTACCGTAGCCTGCCCTGCCCAGCCATGCTCTATCCTGCCCTGCCCTAACTTACCCTACCCTACTCTATCCTGCCCTGCCCAACCTTACACTATCTTACCCTACCTTACCCACCTTTTCCTACCTTGCCCTATCCTACCCTGCCTAACCTGCCCTGCCCTGCCCTACCCTACCCTATCCTACCCTATCCTACCTTTCTTTACCCTACCTTACCCCACTTATCTTACCCTACCATACCCTACCTTGCCCTACTTTGACCCACCCTGCCCTACCGTGATCTACCCTGCCGTCCCCTCCCCTGTCCTATTCTGCCCTTCTTCGCCCAACCTCGCCCTATCCCCTTACACCGCCCTGTCCCTACCTTTCGTTCCCTACTGCCCCTCACGCTGTCCTCTCCTGTCCTACCCCCTTACCGCGTCCTACTCCTCCCAACCACTTCCTACTCCGCCCCACCCGTCCTACCACGCCCTTCACTTCCCTATTTCGCCCTGATCAACCCTAACTTTTCCTGCGCCGTCCCTTCCCCGCTCCAAACGAGTTCTCTTTGCACCGTCCCCCCCCCCAGCTCCGCTCTTTCCCTTCTCACCCTAAAGGCCCATTCACAATGCAAACATAAACATTAGCAAGGAGTTAACATAAATGTTAGGACTACGACCATAAGCGGACTCATTCACAATTCGTTCGTATAAGCATTACACGTAAGACTTTAACTTAAAAGCTGGCAAGCTTCAAGCTTCTGTGCTTATGCTTAAGGAAGGCATAAGAAATGAGCCAATCACAGTACGTTAACTCAAAATCGAGAATCGAAATACGAGCGAAGTCGATAGACGAACTAATGCCATATGGGCCATGGACACAATCGATACCTCGAAATCGATACCTCGAAATCGATTCCCACATCTAACCAATAGTAAGCTAGAATGTCTCACAGCCAATAGAAATTCATATTTGGCTTCCGTTTATGTTAAACATGTGAATACTTCAGTCTATCACTTACGTTAATGTTTACGTCTATGCTTTATGTTTATGTTTGCGTTTCCATTGTGAATGGGCCTTAATCGCGTTCCTTTTCGTTGTTCGTCACATAACCCGCCCGCCTTGACATGTTCGCTACGGTTATCGTTGTCACCACTGTCGTTGCTATGGGAACTGTGCATGCGTTGTTGCTTACTCCGGCAAACATTCAGTAATAATATCGAATTTCAAATGCTATTTTCACATTTTCATAATCAATATTACATTTCGTAGCGAATTTTACGGTTTTTAGAAATGTTTTATTTTTTTTGGTGGATTTCCTTACAGATTTCGAGATATTTGTTAAAAGCTGAAAAATGGACAGTTTCATATACATATGATCCTTCGTGTATGAAAATTAGAACTCATGTTCATTGTTTATTGGTTGGGAAGGGCGTACTTTGCGAGACGCATGCAGCAAAGTACTTTGTCCTACGCGTACCGCAAAACAGTCATGGTCAGATAAAAGGATTGGATACTGCGTAGTAAATAAAATGGAACATCTTGAATCCGCATGGATCCCGCGTCTAACATTAAGAATAACATCAAGGATAAAAACTTGAAAAATTTTGTGAATTCAGGAGGAAAAATTAAAGTACTCGTATGAATGTGTCTTTGGTATTCTCATTTCAAAATGAATGACGGGGTATCGATGGGAGCTGAGTCAATGTGATTCGTACGCCAGACTAAATTTGTTTACTAGTTACGTAAATGAGAATTATGAGATGGGAATATGAGTAAGAGTGCTTTTTCGAAATCTCAAGTGTACAGTAACTTTTCTCTTAATGTGAATATCATGTGTCCAGAATTGTATTGAGATCGGAATAAAACTGTAATTTGAATGTAAAACATTCTTCTTTTATAACGAATATTAAGATCAAGAAACCATTATAATAGTATAATAAACATTCTTTTTCATATACATAAATTTTCTGAAAATGTGGCCTGAAATATGCCCAACATAATTCAATCCCGAAATATTCTACCTTTCAGCGAAAACCCCATGAAAATCGGTTTATTTGGAGCACGAAGATCTCCGATACCTCTGATAACTTGCATTTCACAAAATTATCAAAAAATGCATTTCTGCACACTCTTATACACTTGTTCACGTATATTTAGTTAACTAAAATCAAGAGGTGAAAACTTATGTATCGGATCACACTGCTCCGCAGACAAACTCAGATTACCTTAAAATACAATAAAAACCGTTATTCAACGAATTAATACGAGTTGTAGCACTTTTACATTCTTGAGAAAAAATAAAGAATCTTAAATAAACAAAAAAAAACACAAATAAAGACAAAATTGCAGAGCATAAATGTTTCATAAATCATGTTTGTAACAACTGAAAAACATGTATGCCCAGTAAGGAAATGGCTTGACCTCAATATACAGATTGTCCCAGTCCGGGCAAAAAAATCATAATCTACATTTTATGAACCCTTTTCTCAAATGAAGCAACGAGTACAAAGAACATTGAAATGCGTCGACCGAAATTTTGTGTATAGGTTGCTGAAATTTCAAAAGCATTTCACGAAAAATGTATTTTAAATACTGCAAGAGATTCTGTTAATCGAAACCCACATTCTTGCTTAAAATCCACAGTATTATTCACGATACATTTTAATCAATTTGAAAAGCGTGGGCGTAGCAAAATAAATCCAGTAATATTCACCGAACGTTTAATGAAAAATTTTGCTGAGACGTGTAACAAAAAAATAACACTTCAAAAAGCTCGTCATGCCTTGAAGTTCTGTGAGAGTCAGGCCACAATTTTAAACCGTTACCAAAACGCCAACTTGATGCAGCAATAGAACTTAGGTTCGGAGAGCACTTGGAGCATATATGCATTACTCAGATCTTCAGGTTGACTCTCGTTATCCTTGAAAAATCGTGTTTTCTTTAATTAATTTGGTAATGTTCAGAACTACCGTAGTGCACCGAAGCACCTGTCTCTTTCTGAGTATTATGTACTCTGGCTTCGAGGGTCTTAGCAAACGCATGAGTTCTCAAGGCTATCCGGCACTCGTCTCTATTTTGACTGACGTTTTGGTCAACACATTGTATCGTTCCTCAGTGCGTACTGCTACGTTCTCCTGCAGGCAATACGCTCTGAAGAAGGGCACGATATGTCGGCCGAAACGTCAGCCACCGCGACAGAGTTGTGACTCGATCCGGATAGGCTAGACAAAACAAACTCCGGCCGCGAAGGCTATCCTATTTCCCTACGCCTATCTGCCTTGCTGTGTTCATCCTGCCCCCACGTCCAGTCCCGTCCAGCCCCTTCCAGTCTATCTCCGCTAATCGCGCTAAGCCTGCTTTTTCCTCTCCTTCCGCTACCGTCCATTCCCTCCGCTCGGGCAGCTTTTTCGTTGTCATTAGCCCCGTAAGTGTAGTGCATATTGTATCCTGAGAGGAGGCGGTGTTCTTTCCCCGTTGATATGTGATATCCGGCACCGAACTACACGTCAGTTTGTGGGGATTTCTCCTCCATGTATTTCCCTCATCGGGGGACAAGCCCCAACCTACTGGTTAGCCGCCCGATTTGTGTGTGTGTGTGTGTGTGTGTGTAAGTGAGGGACAAGGATGAGAACAGAAATATAGCGAAAGCAATAGATCTTATTTGAAATGTGCATGTTTTGTGTTGAACCCTTTGGAATACTATAATCCACCTAAATTATTTAAAAGTTAAGATTAGCTTCAGAAAACATCTTCGGTATTCAATATGTTTGGTCTGTTTCAAATCTGCCGCATAGAAAAATCCGAAAAATATGTATCATCTTGTCTAAATGACGTGATTTCTAGCTCTGCCCTTGATTGCAACATTCTTCTTTTTCAGACGCCTTCTTTTGGGTGGGCAACACCCAGCGACCATCCCCTGAAGGCTTCATTGTTCCTTACCCTGAGGACTTTAAAGGACGGTAAGCAAATATATTTTACCCAATTTCGCTATATTCTTAATCGAAAGCTTGTTATGCTGAAGTGCGTCTTGTTTATTGTTTGTTAAATTAGCTGCAACTAGTAATTTGGATAAATAGCGATACGTTGTTATAAATAGTTTTTGTTTGCCAACAAATAATTTTATTATAATTTGTGATATTAATTATGTATTAAAGAATCTGAGATGTATTAGAAAACATGGTTGAAAATTAACAATAAGTAGCGAATAGTATGTTTCAGACTACTTTAACATTTTGCGTATTGCTTAACCTTGGTGAAATTTGAATTAACTCTGAAGTGTGATGATAATGCACGTGAATGGTAAATAAACTATACATTATTCTAAGTGAATTCCCACCATTTATATTCGTAAATTTTATATTACGGTCCCAGATTCATTCAAAAATATTTCTTGCATTCATGGGTCTTCAAAGTATATTGACCCACTTTATGATATTTTTATGATATTGCGATTTCCAGAATGTAGTGTAATGCTGCAACACTGGTGTAAGTTAAGTCTAAAAAACCTCATTAACGAATTGCCATCTATGTTACGAATTATGTAGAAATTTGTTCTCACTGTCGGAATTGCTATTCTCTTCTTTCAAAATAATTGAATAGAGCTCAGCTCAGGTACGTAAATCCAGATGAATTTAAATTGATTATTTTAGTCGTGAACTCAAAATGTTAAAGTGTCCACCTTGTAAGCAGCCATTTTTTCTTTTCGTATTATCTTACTTACGCACTTTTATGAAATGCAAGTCAGGATATTTTTAATTTACGAATAAAATTACTTTTATTCCAAGGGACAGAATATTTTAAAAACTTTCTTTTATTTACTGTTGATAATTTCTTTGTCTTCCAAGGTTTCCAGTGGTCCTTCACGTTTTATTGAATTTTAAACTTGGTTGTTGGAGAGATTAATTTGAAGGGAATGATATACAGCATGATTGGAAAGTTTTGTTTCACTTTTTTTAGAAAAAACGACAAAAGTTTGAATTTTTTATAAATTAAGAAGTATCAATGGACTGATCTGCGTTTAACAAAATAAAATGGTAGAAAAATCTCATTTGTCAACCACACACAGAATTATAGTATTAAGTTTCTCATGCGGAAGTGTAAGTAAAATTGCTCTCTGGAAATTTAGAACATTCCCAGGAAAATACAGTATCTTTAACAAAATGAAATTCCTTTAAATGAAGAAAGGAGTGTACGGTTTACATTTCCGCGTACGGAGGGTTATTACGACGGTGGGAGCAAACAACAGGGCCGCGGCGGCGGTCGGGGCGACGAGCGAGACGCGGCGCGAGGCGCGGAGGTCTGCGTATCGGCGAGCGCGGGGGAGGGCGGCGGCGGCGGGCGAGGACGGCGGGCGAGGACGGGGGGCGAAAGAGGCGCAGCGAGGAGCCCTCGCACAGACAGACCGGCGGCGGAGGGCGGAGACGGGCAGAGAGGGCGAGCGGCGCCGCCTGGTAATCGGCTTAACGGCGCATGCGTGCAAGCGCACCGCGCGGTAACGAGCTGGGACTCTCTGCCCCGCCCACAGCCCTCGCTCAGCCCCGCCCAGCCGCGCCCTGTCTCGTCCCTCCCCGCCCAGTCCAGCCCTGCCGGGTCCAGGCCCCGCCCGGCTCCCAGCCCCGCCGCAAGTCCAGCCCCGCCTCAGCACGCCCGCTGCCACCTCCAGCCCCGCCACTCGCCAGCCGCACCCCACTCCAGCCCCGCCCCGTCCAGCCCGGTTCAGCCTTCCAGCCCGCCAGTCCATCCCCCGCCCAGCTCCAGCCCCCGCCAGTCCAGCCCCGCCCAGTCCAGCCCGCCCAGTCCAAGCCCGCCCCGCTCCGCCTGCGCCATCTTCTACCCCGCCTAAGTCCACGTCCCGAGCCCCGGCTCCAGGTCCCAGTGCAGCTCTCTGCCCCTCCCGATCCAGCCCCGCGCCAGTCCACCCCCGCCCAGTCCAGCTCTGCGCAGTCCAGCCCCGCCATCCCTCTGCCCGCCCCGCACTAACCCACAAACGCAAACTCAACGCCTAAGTTTCTCGGCCTTCCTCGCTGCCTCTTTCTCCGCACAGACCCAAACACGACCTCAATACTCCCCTTACGCCCAAACATTCCACCCCACACCTCCATGCTATCCCTTCACTCAGTCTCCCGGTTCGCCCGACGTGCTCCCAATCCAGCCTTCCATTGACGCCTGCTGCGCCTGACCCGCTCCGCTATTAACCGCGAGTATCGCCAGTGCCCCCCACCCCGGCTCTTCCCAGCCTCTCCGCACCCCTCAGCCCCACCCTGCGTCCCCCGAACATCGCTGCCCAGCTCCTTTCTTCAGCCCGCTCCCACCCATATCTAAACTCACGACGCCCGCGCCTTTCCCACCAATCACCTGTCTGTGTATTTGTAAACTCCCTCCCACGAGCCGCCTGCCCCCGCATTTACCTGCCTGCCCCGCACCCCCGCTGCGAAACACTGCACGACGCTACTTTCCCGTTCTGGCTCCACCGTCCTCCACCCACTTCCACTCTCCGTGAACCCGTTCCCCGCACA